ATCCGGGCACGAAACGACGGAACGGGAGCGAAGCGGAGAGCGAGAAAACAAGAGACGGCGGAAAGAGAAAACAAGAACCCAGCGGACGGACGGACGGACGGGCGGGCTCCCGACAGAGCCTTCAGTCCGCGCGCGTCTGTCACTTCCGGGATGCCAGCGGCAGGCGGGCGGGCGGCGGGCGAGCGGGAGCGCGTGCGGGACGGAGGCCCCGCCCGCCCGCCGTCGCCCGGCCGAGCCCGCGCCGCGGCAACAGGTAGTAGCCCCACCCGCGCGGCGCACTTGCGCCCATGCGGTCCTTTAAAACAACTCGACAATTGCCTCGAGTGTTGCCTAGTTTGCTGCTGCTTTTTTTTTCTTTCTTCTTCTCTCGAAAGGTTCAACTAAGGTTCATGAAATAGTCCTCTTTACACGTAAATATATTTAAAAAAAATGAGAATCTAAGTGAAGTGTCCACAGAGAAAAACCCAAAGTTCCCTTTCGCAGAAAAAGAAACAACAACATGAAAGCGAAAAAAAGTTCCCGAAGGCAGAGAAGTGAGGCTTTTGCGAGACTTGCGCGGCGCACTGCTGCCGCCGCAAGAGCTCGCTGCGACCGCGGCCGAGGGGGCGGGGCTGCTGCGTCGGAGAAGCTAGCGCGCACGGCAGCTCTTACTGGCGGATGCTGCTGTGACGCGCCGCGGCAGACGAGGCGGGCTGCGACCGCGGGGCGCGGCCGTGGCAGCAGCGGCGGCGGCGGCGGCAGCGCGACGGCGTGGGGCGCGCGCGCGGGCGGGGGGCGGATTGCCCGAGGCGAGAGGCGGCCACCCACCCGCTCGCCGCCCCGCGCGCTGGCGGCCGTCACGGGTCACCGCGGAGGCACCGGGGCATGGTGCTGCGCCTGGTGGCTCCTGCTGCCTGCCACCCCACTCGCATCACAGGCCCTGGTGCTGCTGCTGGTGCTGGTAGGCTTCGAGGTGCTTGTTGATCTCGCGGTGCAGGTGCTCGGGGACCACGCCCACGTTGTGCGAAAAGGTTGCGCAGCACGTTCAGCTCCTCGTTTAGCAGCTCGATGCGCTTCTGCAGGCGCTCGTTCTCCTCTCATGAGCAGCTTCACCTTCTCCTCAGTTTCCTTGGAGCGCAGCTTCGCCTTCTCGCGCGACTTGCGCACGGCGATGTTGTTGCGCTCACGCCGCCGTCGGTACTCGTCGCTCGCCTTGTCGATGGTCTTTGAGCTCTTCCGCGAGTGGTGGTGGTGATGGTGGTGGTGCAGAGCCGAGGGCGCGCCCGCGCCAGTCGCGCCCTTGCCGCCCAGGCCCTTGCCAGGCCGAGCAGCGCGGCGGCGGGCCCGCCGTGCGCCGCTTGCGGGTGGACGGCTGGCGGCGCGCCGTGTAACGCGCCGCCGCCGCCGCTGCACCGCCGCCCGCGCGGGCCGGCCGCAGCCGCCGCCGCTCCGGGCACCGCCGACGTCGTCAGGGTGGTGAAGGTGGGGCCCGCGCCATTGCTGGCGAAGCTGTTGCCCGCCGGGGGCGAGTACGAGTTGGAGTAGGGCACGGGGACCGCCACGGCGCCGCTGCCTCCGCCGCCGCCGCCCGCCACGCCCGGCGGCAGCTGCTGGTGGCACGCGGTGCGGAAGTCCGTGGGGTCGAGGGGCTCTTCCTTGATGGCGATGCTGCCCGGCGACGCGCTCGAGCCGGCGTCGGATATGCTGCTGCTGCTACTGCTGCTGGACGAGGTGTTGGCGTTGCCGTTGGTGTTGTAGTTGGCGCCGCTGTGGACGGGCTGGGGCATATACGCAAGCGTGGTGCGTGGGTAGGCGGCGCCTAGCAGCGCCGCGGGCCCGCCGCGCACGCCGTGGCCCAGGGGCCCCGCGTGGTGCCCGCTCGCCTTCGGGTTGGCGCCGTTCAAGATGTCCGTAAACAGACCCTCGTTGAACTGCGTGTCGTCGATGAGGTTCTGCAGGTCTAACGAGATTTCGGGCGTATTGAGATCGGCCAGCTCGGCCGGGTGATCGCCCGGATGGTACTGATGATGTTTGGCGAGCAGATTTGCGGCCTTCGTGTTGTTGTTTATCGCCGTCAGGCTGTTGTTGTTGTTGCTAGCGTTCGTGTTTCCGTTCACCAGCTTCTTCACGCCGATGTCCGCAGGCGCGATCGCGGGGTGGGTGTTGTTGTCATACATTTGCGGCGAATCCATTGTATTGTAACCAACATAACATACTTGAGGCGACAGATATGGAGACCTGGCACTTTCAGAATCACTGGCACAAACACCTAAGTCCTCTTCCAACAAATATTCGTTTAAAGCGGCCGTCGTGAAGTCTTTGGCGACGTGACGAGACGTGCCGCCCACCGCACTAGACGAAAACGAGCGACAGACTGCGTCGGACGGGACGCACCGTCGTCCCTTTCCCGTTACGCCCACTCGGCTACGCAAACTTTGCACACGCACTACTGCGAGGGCACTCGGAGCTGCTACGCACAGTTCCCTAGCAGCTTCGACCTGCACTCTCCCGCACTTCTACGTCGAATGACAAGCTGATGCAAGATTCCCGAAGGAAAACTCGTGTTCCTACTAACGTAGTGCGCGAGCCGGGCCAGAACGCGCTCGGTTCTGCGCAGGCAGGGAGGGGGAGAGCGCGCGCGCAGCGCTGTGGCCCCCACCACTCCGCCTGCCCCCTCCACGCGCGCGCGCCGATGTTTTTGCCGTCCGTATCACCGCTGATTTTCAAATTTCTGTTTGCGGCGGGCCACTAACATTCAAAATGCATATTGTGAGGTAACAAGCATAAAATATATTATTGCGACTCTTACGAATTGTTCGTTTTTCCACACATTACAAGTTCACTCGGGTCACCCCACTACAGTATAGATACATCCACCGACGTCATTGTGACGTAGCGACCTGTGTGACGTGTTCAGCGAATTTTACTGATTCATAATAAGCTACTGGAATATTCCTGCATAGCCCTCGAGTCGAGCGCGGCTCCAAGCGGCGATGCCACGCCATCTGTTAACGGAAAGGAGAAGTAAAGTAGAAAATGTGTCAAGGACGAGCGATGGCTAGCCGAGCAAAAGAAAAGTTACTTTCGCTTCGCTGCGAGCTGTTCCTTGCGCTGGGGGGCGAGCTGTGGGGGCAAAACGCTGGCCTGCAGTTCATAAAACGACATTACAGTGTTCTGTCATAAATCTTTGTTTACGATGCAGATTGAAAAATTATATTCCCCAAATAGAACTCTATTTTCGGTAAAAATCTCATTTCGACACAATATTTTTGCCTTTTCCTCGTCGAGAAAATGATATAACATTCTTTTTTTAATTAAGAAAATAATTGAAGACATCAGTGAGTTGAGATTCATCACGTATTGACATACCAACCTAAAAGTAATTAAAATTAATACAAGAAATATTTTAAAAAGAAATTAAGTAAACCTGTCAAATAAACAAGTAATTTAAGAATTCAAAACGCAATAAAAACACGTAATAAAGGCATATCGTGAGGAAAAAAGAATTAGTTGCGAACTAAGGTCGTAAATCACTGAAACTAAAAATGTCCTTCAATATTTTGATATATTTTGTTGTAGTAGGAGTTAAGAGCAATATGTTTAAATCCTATGGTTATCGTGTATAAAAGCGGCCCGACGTATACAAACGAAGCTTGAAATTTTGTAGTTTTATGATATGTATAAAGAGAATTAAAAAAAAAAATCAAAACGTATAGACGTGATCTGGACAGTTCTAAAATCACAAGTAAAAGACGAATAATTGTTCAGATAGAAAGGAGTATTCGTTAAAGAGGCAGTGCTTACAAAACTGCAACGGTAGTAAGAAAAATATCGGGAGTTACTTCATTTTGCCAATTTGCTCTACATTTAGAAACGAACTAGAGAATTTTAAAGGCAAATCTCAAGAAAGCTTTTTGAACTGACTGTATGCGAGTTGAAAATTTACTTCTGAAGCAAGATGCGTATTTATAATCATGATTACCTTACGTTACACCATTGCACGTTTGACCCGGGGATGCACTAGTATCAAACCACTGCTTCAGTAATGCTTTTGGGTTCCTTTTCTCTATTGTACTGTTGTTCCTGTTAGTGAAATTACGGTCTGCTGTATTGTAATAAAATCAAACATACCGATACTGGAATATTTAAGAGTGCGCTCTTCCGTACATTGCGAAAATAGTGCAGTTCAAAGACGCGATAGAGAACATTAGATCATCCAACGTTTAATTGTAATAAACTAACGATTTCATGTGTACGCACGTAACATCATTTACATATGCGTATGCACAGAGAGGGGGCAGGGAGGCCGTGGCTCCCTTAAACATTTTGAAACGTGGCCCCATAGCCTTACGTAACAAACATATTATTTCCATAAATGATTGACTAAATAGTAAACAAAGGTGTTAAAAAATCCATAAATAAGTTCAATCCCTAATTTCCCCTTTTTAACCCGACATTTTGGGGAATTGTTATTCAACATTTGGTGAAGAGGCACTCCAAGCAACGACTGGAGTAATCGTGGCAGTAATAAAGGCAATTGTGTATATGTTTAAGTTAAAATCGATTGCATTTATTAATTGTATCATTATAACTACAATTTCGTTTTCCTATTAATACGTTTTATTATTTCACTAGTAAAATGTCATGAAAATAAAAAGTTGTTTTGACATGTTCAAGGAAAAGGTTGCTTCCTCTTCTTTCAGGCTGCGTACGCCAATCATCATTCATGCAGGAAAAATAATTTTTATAGACTTCTTTCTTCTGTGTATAATTCCGGCCATAATTCTAGGTCGATACGTAAAAGATAAATAAGCCATTTAAATCAATTTTTCAGTAGTAGTAGACAATTTTGTATTTCCTTCATTACAAGGCAATTCTGATTCAAAATCATTAATCATCTGTGATTCACGCAAGTAGGCTACAAGAGTAATTTCGAATCAGATATGCCTTGTAATGATGAAAATAAACGCATTAATTACTACTCCTGAAAAATTGCGTTTTATGAATATACTTATCTTTTTCGTATCATCCTAGAATTGCACTGTTCGTTCTACAGATCTAGACGATTACGTAGTTTCGTTAACAGTTTGAAGCTCGCGGTAGCTCAAAAGAACTTCATTTTGGCTTGCAGTGATTCATCGAGAGCATTCGATATAAAAGTATAGATCGGGAAATTTATGTTCTTTCGCTAGATAACTTTTTTACTGTGCTGTTGGTAATATTTTACATATGGCGGAGTAATAAACAAAATCTTGCTAGTACGCGGATTATGTTGGACACGTAACCTGTTTACATTGAAGTTTATATTATGAAGAAATCCTTTCGTTGAATTACTAATAAAAAACACAGATAACCATGCCACCGAAGTTTAAAAGAACATTCTCACTAGAAGAAGCTACGAGCTCAAACAAAGAAGAAACGGTATGTAATCAGAAGAAAATAGACAGTTTCAAATTTCCTAAACTTTTTTTTGATAAAAATATTCGAAATCGCTTGATGTAGTTTCCATAAACAACTGAAATTGTAATTGACGTTTCCAGGCAGTTCTATTGGAACACAAAAGTGGCAGTGAAGATGAAGATTACTTTTTGAAGTGAGTATTGTGCACCGGGAATTTTTGTTAAACCTGAGACATTGTTTCTAACTTTGTAGTTTTAATGCCCAAATGTTTTAATTTCATATTATAGTGGACCTACTGGCAAATCCTCTTTTGGTAATCAAGATGATGAAAGAGTGCGACAGTGAGTAATCTTCCAGTTCATGCACATACAATTCATAAATCAGCTACTATCAACTATCAGATACTATCGACAATTCTTGTCTGGAATTTTTGTTGCTAAAATCTTATATCTCGATTGATTGTGAGATAGCAGGCATACCATTCTTATTATTAATTTAATTGTTTTGAGTCATCGTTGACAGTTCAGTGTTACTGTAATATTACAAGTCATTTAATTTGGTGTCACCTCTAATTACAATTTAATATTAGTTGTTTTTATGTGCTGTTACATTGTATTTAATTCTTTATGCCAATAATTCTAATTATAATAATGCTAATTAATTTCTGTAAGTCTGAATATTTAATTAATAATGTTAGTGCATTTTTATACATTATTCAAAATTTTCATTACAATATTGTATGACATTGATCTTTCTCAATAAGCTCCATATAGTATTAAATGTGAGAGTAAATGTGCAAATAAAATGGAAAGACTGACATCAAAGTTAAAGTTGTTAGTAGATATTTAATCGTGTCTGAAAATTATGTTTGTATATTAGGTATTTAAATACATTTAAAAATTTTATCTTTCCTCAGGGTTCAAGCTCAAATTGCAGAAGTTACAGGAGTTATGCGAGATAATGTTGGCAAAATTATGGAACGAGGAGACCAGCTGGAAAACTTGCAAGTTGCGTCAGATAGACTTAGTGCTGCAAGTTATGATTTTCAGTCTGCTTCAACTCGCATAAAGCGTCGTGCATGGGCACAGCACATGAAAATACGAGCAATTATTGCTGCATTAAGCGTATTGGTCATTGTTGGCATTTTAGGTAACTTTTTCACTTCTTAAATTGCAATTACCTTCACTACCTTAAATTGCAATTCTATATAACAATTCATTAACTGCACAATTTTTTGTTTTACTTGTCCCTCCAACTTGTTTATTTAAATAAGTATTAATATTGCCACATTCATTTAAAATAGTGAGTTCACCAGTTAGCAACACTTCCACTTAATAAATGTTACATTTAACATGGACTAAAGTTAGTTTTGGAATATAAAAAAACTTGCTGCTAACCAAATTTTGTAATTTTAAAAGAAGCTACGTTTAATATTTTCATTTAAGAATCAAGACCACTTAATGAAATTATAAATTATGAATGGCAATAACAAACATTCGAGAGAGAAAAATGTTTTAATACTGTAATGTATTATTGGAGAACCTTAAACATAAGGAGTTCTTGAATTGCTTATAATTACTTCTCTTGATTGAGCAATTATTGCTTTGTCAAATCCAGATATTTCTTTTTCCTCAAAAAATGCCAAATGTGAATTAAAGAAAATACTAAATACTAGATTTTTTTAAACCAACATTGTCCAAAACCTTACAAAGAATAATGAAAAGAATACTTAAAGAATGTTAAAGAATGAATGAAACTTACTAATTTTATGCAGTATTGTATGAACATCTTGTTTATTAGCTATGAAACAAAATTTCCCTAACACAAGTCAACTTAGCACAACATTATACTACTTCTAACAATTTCCATAAATATTAAAAGAAAGAACTTTAATAATAATAAAAACTTCCTGTGTGATTCCAGACCTTACCATACACCTTCAAACATATGGTACTATTCATTGCTTTGCAACAGCCTTTATTACTCCTGACTTTCTTTCATGCATGAAATAATGAAACATTGTGTGTTGATTCTCTTCCTAATCAAGATAAGTGAATTGTATATTGACTAGTGTATGAAAATTAAAAAAGGGTTGTTTCTTTGACACGTTTTATAACTTTTTCAAAATTTACTCTCTTATTATAGTACCTATCTGATTAATTTATAGTGTTTTTTTGTTTTTTGTTGCAGTTCCCATTATCGTTCACTACTCATCGTGATGTATTCATTCCCAATGGCTTCATTTTAGCTTCAAGGCTGTATCTGTGCCCTTGCACCTATGTTGTCTGTGTGACTTAAGATCTGTGATATGTCAGCTTCAGAGAAGTTGGCAAAAGTTGTTTCTTTCTGCATAGAAACTGTGAACTTGTCATAATTACTTGCATTTCTGTACCTTCAGTGACACTCAGTTAATTCAGAGTTGATGTTTGTTTTAAGATATCTAAAAACAGATGTGCCTAAAAACTGTTGCTTTATTTTTTTGTTATTTATTGATTAATGTAGTTAAACACAGATTTTTCAAAGGGCATTTTTTAAATTATTGAATTTGTATATTTGAGTTTGAGAAGTGTAGTTAAGCACTTGTGGTATTGTATTTGTTAACTTATAGAAATTGTTTTTGTTACAAGCTTAAAGAAAGGAATGTAAATTTTAAATACATATAGTTCATAAATGTAGTGAATTGGTGTTAATTTTTTTTCTCTACTCCTAGGAAGTCCTGTGCAATAACAAAAATTGCTGCAAATATTTCTCCAGTTATTAATGCATTTGTATTGCATTAATCACAAATCACAAAATAAGTTGTCATTGCATTTTATACATTGTGATTTCACTTCTCAGACGTGTGAATGCTCAAGATTCGTTGTAGATGAACTGAATTGTTTTATTATTTTAACTCTGGAGTTAATCATTATTGACTTATTCTATGAATTTAAAATTTCAGTACATTATTCCTATTTAGAGAATTTAAGCTTGTGAGAATATAAAAGAAAACCCACATTTTTTTCATATATCACACCAGAGTATAATAAAAAAAATAATACATGTGGGATTGAACCCAATGAAACAACTTTTGTAATTGAACACTAACTTAGTATCACCATTAGAAACATTCTTGGAATCACAGAAATTAATTTCAAATCAAGTATCCTCTCATTTTTCTCGACTGAAACTTCTAATTCATTCATCCCTTAACTATCACTTCCCCTCTGCCTGCACACATCTGCCAATTGTGTTCTTTGCATTTGCAACTTTACAACAACTGCAGCTCTTAAATTCAACCACATTCATGCAATATTTAAAATTTCAAAAGAAATACTAGTCCCTTTTTATTTGAAATTTAATAGTTGACAAGATAATTAAGATAGCTGGATTGAATAAGTTTTAGCAACAAAAACTTTCTCCTGTAGAAAATTGCTCATTTTTGGGTAATCTTTCAATTATAAATTCTTTGTTTAATATTTAACACATCACTACTGCTAATGCTCTGATATTTATAAGTTTATCTCCCATCTCTAAGAAACTTTAATCCAAATTACAACACAAGTTATTGAATCAATAATTAGCACATTATGGTCTACTATTGATAACAAAGAAAAGAAAGAAAAAAAGAATTCAAACAAGTTTTCTATTCCATGACTTATTAATTGTATTGGCATCAGTCTGTCACATTTCTAAGAATGAATAGGCAAATTGAAACAAAAAATATTGTTTTTGAAATTTGTATGAAGTGGATAAAGTAGTTTCAAACTTACTAAAATGAAATATGACAAAAGTTTGCATTCACTTTCATGTGAAATGAATTTGTTAATAATGTTTACACAGCATACTTCTGTATTTTTGAGTTAAAAATGGAATTTTCAAAAAATCTGAGCACTTCCTCTTTTTACCTTAAGCTGATAGCATTTGCATGAAATAAGTATAGTAATTTCTTATTTCTTGATTTTAACTTTAGAGTTACTTTGTTGTAGAGTAAGTTTGATACGTGAACTTTTCTTCAAGTGCTTAGATATTAGGAATACCAGGAGATAAAATTACTAGGAATGCCAAACACTCTACTTAGTAAAACAATTTGTATTACAGAACAGGAAATAGCTGAAGGAAGTTTTTCAAATAATTTTAGAAGTATCTCAATAGCTTTACAAATATTATTTGGTCACAAAGGAACTAAATATTCATATTTTATACGTATCCTAACGTCATTATGTGACATTATTAAAATCGTCATCAACATAAGAGAGGGGTGCAAAAGCACCAAATATATACAAGTAATAACTGGCAATTATAAGACAGTCCACAAACACAATTCCAATTATAGTTACTAATATTTCTAATGTACTAATAAAGGTTTGTAATCGTAAAACTAGGAGTAGTAATTGAGGGGGGCGATAAATTCGCATTTTATTAATAACTGCTAAGGGTCCCCTATATTTCAATTCCACAAAATAAAAATACGTACTTCTAAGAAGAAAGAAAAATAAAATAGTGAATGATACTTTACCTCCTTTACAGTCGTTACATACAGTCGTTGATGAACCATATTTAATAAGTGATCGGCTGCAAGTAACACAAACCATTAACACGATCACTCTTTCGACAGTATTTTCACGAACCACACCGTGCACGCGACACGGATACAACTAAAAATGAAATTTTGAGACGTTTTGAGTCTTCAGCTCGTAACTCGCCCGTATACCGGCGCTTCTCAGCCGACGGTCCACGACGGTAAAATGTACAAAACAAGTTATATTTCTGTAGATGTTTGTCAAGCGATATTATTTTCCAAGTTCATATTTTGAAAGTTTATTTTTTATAGTCCCCTACAAGGCTGCTACACGGTCAAAAACTTTGCCAATCCGAAGCAATGCCTTGACACATCTAACTTTTCAACTGTCAAAAAATCACACAAAAACTAATTGAAAATTGTAAAAATAATTAGCATTTCCTTAGGGCCACAATTTATTTAACCCATTTAGTGAAACCGCGATTTACAATTCATAGACCTAGCCAGTATTGTGGGTTCATTGCGCCAAATTTCAAGCGGACGCAAAGAACATCGTAAGAAATTCTTTCTCGAATTAATTTTATTTATTTGGTTTACATTACACAAGATTGTCGTTCGGTAATGATAGGAATTACGACTATCGTTTGTGAACGGTTATAACAATGGTGGGCCGAAATTTTTTTAGCATATTTGCACAGAAATCTTTTAAGCTATTATTACAAACATGGGCGTAGCCTAAAACTTCTGTCCTCTTTCATATTAATAAGTACAATTTACACATTTATTTGAAATTAATTCTTCTAAAATTAATTCCAAGGCAACATTTCTCACTCTACCTTACACTCATCAGTAATAGTTAAACGGTCGCTCATCACCTGTGTAGGGTAAAAACCTGATTGTGATTAACAATGTCAGGAGAATGGATTGTGCTTATTCAGTATAAACAGGATAGGTCTACTTGTTTGAGAATAGCAGAAATAACAAAAATGAAATCTTTAAGACACTTTTCAGAAAATCTACAGAAATATGTGACAGATTAAACATTTGTTTCTTCAATTACATTCATGCAGTCATTTTTCTTTGTAAAAATTTAATTTAATAAAAAAATCTAAATATATTTTTTACAAAACTGTATGAAAAGTTAGACAAATTTATGGAAAATATTAATTTATGAATGTGCTTTGGAATTAATTCAACTCTGAAGATCAATGTTATAACGATAAGACATTTAGTTTTGAAATGTTCATATCAGTGATGCCAGTCTGCAATTTTTGTTTTGCATCTTGTGTTCAGGTGTTTATTTTGTGGTGTTATGCTTTTAGTAGCAACTGTTGTATTACTGAAGTATTTAGTGATATTAATTATTTCATTTTAGCATTTTTCACTGATTAAATTTAGTACTATTTTCTCAACTTCCTGCCAGTAGCCACATGGAGTATTAGTTATGCACAGCATGTTTACATATAAACATACTAAATGAAAAGATTTCATAAATTTACTATCTTAGAGTGAGTTACTAAATCTTAACAATACACTAAATCTGTTGCAGCCCATCAATGCTGTATCTTCAATGCTCTTGAATTTTAATCAAAATATATGTTTCTGAAAATTGTCTCAACAAAAGTTTTCATATCACATTTCCAGGTGTTATTTTTGTTATATAATGAGTCTGCTGACAAACAATTGAGATTAGTTTTTCTCATTCTGACAGATGTTTGGCATTAGTTGCCAATGTTCAAGGATGTGCAGTTTAATTATTATTTGCATTTTTCTTACTGTTTGAAAATTAAAGATTATGAAATAAATTGTAAGTTAGGAGCAATTAAAATCTACCATCCATTAATATTGCAAGGCAATTAATTATTCTCAGTACAGATCATCTTGGATTGCTTCCAAGTAAAAGCATCCCATACAGAGAAGTTAGATATTGCTTATAAGGGCCTGTAGCTTTTGTGGCTTTGGTGTTTGGTAATTATCAAATACATTGAATTAATGTATGTGAATGTGATGTGAGTGGATGGGTGATGTGCATGCGCATGCATGTACATATGCATGTGTGTAATGAACTGGAACACCATAGAAGATTTATCAATGCCGGATTAATAAAAATTGGCAGCAGATTGTAACAAAAACCTACCTCTGCAATTCTTAGGTGAAGAATTCATTGCTTGGAGAACATCTGCATTCATCATTCTTAAATGATTCTTAGATGAAGTAAAATATACAAATTAAAAAAATAACACTCACTTGAAAAAACATTAGCAGTGGGAGGAGGTACTAAAATAATAAAATAAGTGAAATTAAACAATACACCAAAAAAATCAAATGGATAACAAATATATTTTATGTAAACATAATTATTAAATACATTTCAAATTTCATCCACTATTTCTGGTACACAAATACAATATACATTTTGATAAATGTCCACATGAAAATCATTTTAATTTTAACCCATGAAATAGTTCAAATAGTAATTAACAAAATGTACAATGGGGTGAAACAACAAATTTTGCTATTAAATTTGCCACAAATGCCTTTTACAAAAACAATATTTCACAAGTACTCATTGTATTAATAATTATTATTCTTTCCATTAAGCATCATTTAATAAATTACTAAAAGAGCAAATTCTTAAACACAGAAAGATAAAATCACTTTTGCTTACAGTATTATTTCCAATATTATTCATTCACAATTATTCACTCTGTTGCAGGAAAATATTCTTATATTAAAGGCTATATAACTAGAATGACAAAAATCGTTCAGGTGATTTCTCATTCTCAGAAGAATCAAATCACATAGTGGCTTAACGGAAATGAACAAGATCAGATAGTATTAAGGGAAGACTATTCAATAAATATTCATTTTCAGATACTATAAAAAACATACAGACTAGTAAGTCTGAAAGAAAATTGAGGAACATTTACCCCAACAAAACTCAATGTTTTTTGCTGTTGCATTTTGAGAAAGGTTGTACATAGAAGGCAAGATAGAGGCTTCTGGTTTTATTAAATAATTACTATAGAAAATTCATTTGGAAGTTTGATTGAATTAAGAGTATATGAATATGTAAATTTACACTTTTATTAGAGTATTTTGAATACAAAAAACAAAAGACAACAGAAATTGTGATGTACAAAAAACATCAAATGCAGAAGATGCTCTCTTAACCTGATTCATCAGTAAACATTTCAACAGAAATAGAAAAGACCACATTCAACAAAATTCTTTAATTTTTAAAAAATTGTTATCTTTGACTCTTTTATGTAAATATAATATAACAATGGTACTAAAAATATCCAAAAAGAGAAATGGGAGGAAATAAGGAAGGTGACGTAGAATTAACCCAATCTCAATTAAGAGGGCAGCTGCTGTATCAATATTTTCAGATCATCAATAGAATAATGTTTTGTTAACAAGTAATAAAAAATGTGTTTTCATAGAAAAAGATTTACACAAAAAAACCAGCTGTTTTGGAGTTAAAAAATAATTTGGTTTTTAAATTAACAGTTTTGGCTGTAATCTAGTGTGCATCTCCATAAAGTCTTCTCTTGCCTAAAACGATCCTAGCCACCTCCTATTTATTGTATCAGGCATCTTACACTGGAAGGATTAAATGTACTTTCTTCTGAAACTTAAATGGAGAACAATAGAAAGTTTAAAAATTTAGAAATAGTTCTTTAGATTCTGTTGTCATTATTGTAATAAATATTTGTATTATATTATCTTCATTTCTGAGTATTCAATAACAATGACAAATAGTCTGTTCTACTTACAGGATACATTTGGGCCTTATTCTTTTGAAATAAAGTTTAAAGAACTTTGTTCTTTCAAAACCAATCCCTTTGTATGGCCCCTACACTTCACTTTGTATAAAAAACAGTCTAATAGTATTACATACATAATAATAATGATAATAAATATATGAAACCTGTATTTTTTCTAAAATCAATATAGTTTCTGTTGAGCACATATAGCAACAATCTGATCAACAGACAGCATAAAAACTCAAAACTTAAAAAAAACTGAAATAGATTTGGAATAAAATTAACTTCAAGTGAGCAGACAACCAAACAATAATACCAATACAAATATTATTACTTTCTCTGAATAAACAGCTGAAATCTCTTGAAAAATCACAAATCTATTTTTTTAAATGATATCTAACAAAATAAAATGTGATCTCAACATTTGTTTACTAAGTCTAGTTCTTTCCTTTCATATATAGGGGAGAGGCACCACCTATGGCTACTTACAGCAGTTTTCTATACTGTGGATTTAATTGATTATTAACTTCTTGCTTTGGAGGGAGAAAAGAATTAAATAAGTTACAAGTAAACATCTGTAGAATGGATTTAGAATGCAATGAATGAAAACATAAAATATCTAACAGTTTTTCAATAACACTACTTTAATAAAAAAAATTCCCTTCCCTCTATCTATGACTACTTGTTCTATTTGTTCAAAATGTATTGACTATTCAATAAGTATTAAGAAGACATATTGTGATTTCTTAGACATTGTATAATGATGAATAATTCTGATTATACTACAGGAACACCACTTCCTGAAATTTCCATGCTGATGTGATTGATCTACAGCTGATAGGATAGAGAATGACAATCTAACCCGTTTAAAGAACTGGAAGTGCTAGATCTATACTAACTTAAAGAGCAAGACATGATATTTTACCACAGTGCCTTAATTATTACAATTTATTTGAATGTGACCATAGCAGGTGTACATAGGTCATAAATGGTGCCTCTACCCTAATTCTATAAAAAGACACAAGTATAAATTAAAGAGACAAATAATACAGCTCTAAGACAGGCAAGTATGGAATATTTACTTAAAAGACTTTTCTAAATTGAGATACTTTTATGAAAGTAATTTATTAATATGAGTGAACATCTAATTAAATGTAGATGAAATAATTGACACAGGTTCCTTTTAAAACTATTCTAGTTAATAAAAAATTAAAATGATTGGTCCCATATGTATTATTAAATACAATAGGGAAGGCACGCAACAATCCACGCTTAAGTGCACGCAAGCTCAGTAAAGTGACTAGTAAGAAAAACAAAACCTACTATCATTAATTCTTTTCCTGATTGTTTCTTCGTTAGTTACATCAAAGAGCAATTCTCCACTAGTTGACCCATGTTTTGACATCAAAAAATCAACATTTGAAAAATATTTAAAAATATTATTTAATGAATCAACACAAAAATGAACTCTGAAAATTTTACAAATTCAACAGATCCAAGTATAAAGATGTTTCTTTGGAAATAAATCTATTTTATCTTACAGAATTAAAAATATATAATTTGACTGAAGAGCCATTAAATACATATAAAATAAAGCAAACACTAAAATACATACATCCTTTTAAAGTACAAAATTCTGTTTTTGAACAGTAGTGGTAACAGTATTGATAAATATCTTTGCATTCACTTAATTAAAAATGTTAGATTCACAAAAGTCAAGTTAAAAATGACAATACTATATTTTTATTACATAATATTTTTTCTTCTTTGTCCACAGAATTTCCTCAGTTTTTTCTTGTAAGAGAATATTATACTAGTGTAAATTTTTACCAAGAGTTTATCACCTGTTAAATTCAGTACAATACGCTTACCAAAACTGGAATAATCTATTGACTCTAACAAGGAACATTTCATAGCAAGAAATATCAACAAAGAGTCTTGTAAATTATTTACCAATGTTGTAAACCAACATTTTTTTCTTCTTGTACTCAAAGAATTTTGCACAAAACTGACAAACCATGATGCACACTTTCCTTGAATTATTTTTGTTTTAAATTACTCCAAACATAGTCCACAACACAAAGTCATGACTAGGGGCGGATTTTGATGACCTAAAATATTGCTAAAAATGATCAATAAAATGCTCGTAAAATGCCTTAAAAACGACGTAAAAATTTGATGAAAACCACTTTAGATGAACGACTGAAGCTGCTGGGCATGTTACTAATGTAATCGAGGCTTCTTCCTATTGTTCAAGTGAACTCAGCTTGCAAACTTTTGGTTTGGACTGTTCTTTAAAACAAAATCTCTGCCTTTATTTATTGTGAAATCAGTTGAACTGACAGTGGCATTGATAGGCATAATAGGAACCTTCGATTACATAGTGTTCACAATGGCTGACAATACAATACATGAGCGAAGAAATTTAATATGCTTCTCAAGAATTCTTTGGTGAACATTTGCTGCACCTCGTAAATATTCTTTTAAGTAAGTACCATTAAAATGGTATTAAAATCAATGAAATCTACAAAAAATGCATTAAAAATGAAGTAATAAGGTAAAAAAAACAACTTATTAGTAGAAATTGATGAAAAATGCAAAAAAATTACATATAAAAAATGGGTCATTTCATTTTGGCTTAACATAAAATGAATTTCTATACTAAACAGCATTGTTCTAAAGTGAAAAGAAAAAAAATTACATTTTATTAAAATCTGCTCCTAGTCATGACTCTTAGTGAATACAAGTCAACTTGACTCAATAAATAAGTTTTTAATTCTCTGTAAGGCTAAATTCAACGCATCCCTACAGGTATCTTTACAAGGGTTGCAAATATTCAGATTTCAAATAATTTTTCACTTAAAATGCAATTAATAAAATATTTTCCCAGAATTATATTTAACTGAGCTGATACAAGCTCTAAAATACCATTCTATTTCATGTTTTCCAATGCAGTCCTACCATGCCTGTGAAGTATATCATTCAGGACATTCAGAACACCTACTATAAGCTACATGGTTTACAACACTCCAGTCATCCTTTATTCCTGAAATATTTTGAACTGGCAGCTGGAAGGAGGTTTTTGCTGAAGGAATTTCCTTGCTATTTCTCAGTTCTTTATCAATAAAGACTAATCTGTTTTTCTGTCTTCTTAAGTGTGACCTTTGTTGTTCTGCTTCAATCAGTGCGGTGCTACAAGCTTATTTTTCCCTATACTATCATACTATCAAGAAATAAAAATCAAGAAGAAATACATTGGTAAACATATTATAAGTATTATTTTATTTGATTGTATTTATTATTTGGCAGAGAATCAGCAGAATCTCTTGAGAAAGGATCTTAAAATGCTATTACAATCTGGTACGTTCTAATGTTATTAACCTCCAGTGTGATGAAGATTGTGTAGTATGAAGAAAGTAATGAAAATTAATAGTACATAATGGAATGACAAGCGTGGAAAACAGAAAACAACAACAAAGAAACCAGCTTTGAACCTGCTTTATTTACCACAAATTCTTCATGGATCATTTAGAATTTGTTCTTTTGAAACGAGAAGTGGAAAGCTAGGGGAGAATGCTGCCATTCATTCCATCGATGGAAACCTTGTCACATTGCATTACCACTGCCTGAAGATACATGCAACATACCCTTTCCTCAAAGAGTAACAGCCATTAACACAACTACTGCCAGACACTCGATTGATTCCTAAGAAATTTCTGTGGATGGATAAGTGCTTAATGGTCTTGTTCATTAGCTTTGAAAACAGAATGGTAGATCATCCTATTTGCCAGTTTAAAATTTCCTGGAATAGTGATGATGTCACTCTTAACAATAACCAAGCTGCCCTTAAGAGGTCACAAAAACTGCATTCTTCAGCACTGTTAGGTCTGGCATTTCTTCATGAAAGTTTCCAATGACTGACTAATAAAATTGGCTCAAAAATATGATTCCTTTGATAAAGTTTAATTGATTAAATTCGAAGTTGAGACACCCACAGAAGGTAAACTTGCACAGAGAATATAGGTTTCATTACAGCTTTTCTCTTTCTTCCAGAATAAAAAAATAAGTTTAGATCCTAAAGACAAAACCACTAAGCAAGCTGCCAATGCGATTCAATTCACAAACACGTATTTTCAATACGCAAAAACCACAACTATCTTACATAAATACACATTTTACATATCCTTCAACGCAAATCCATGTTGAACACAAATTAATTTTTGTTAAGAAAGCACCATATACTAATGTCATATTTTCTCTTTTGGTATGTAGTAATAACTTAATGGAATAAGCATTGTATGCTTCAATTAGTATAACACCCAAGATTGCTGCTGCCTTCATTAGTAAGCATATCTGGAAGCATTATTTTATCTTGGCATTTAGAGATTCAACAATAATAAACAATACAGAAATTACTTCTTACGACCACGAAAACTGACCTCAAACTACATAAATTACACAGATCATTTGGAAAAAAATTATTTTACATTCCCATGAAGATTCTTGTTTGAACCGTAAAGTTTTCACAGCACTTCGTAGCACAAAAGATATAAACCAGACATAATCCACACTGGTTAGAGAGCATTCAGTTCTCCAATAAAAACATATCTGATTGAATACACATCATATCTATATAACTTTAGATATTTTTACTTCATCTCCATTGTCTAATTATGTGATGTATTTCTCAATCTCACATGTACTGTAAAGAATTCTCTCTTGCCTAATTCACTTCATCTTGTTACATATTACAAGTACCTTTGAGTAGCTGCAGTGCAGGGGCACTTGAAATACATTACAAAGTTTTGAAAACTACTCACACTACTTCAAAAGATGAAATTTCCACACTACGTCTTTTACGAACATCACCATCCTCTCCAACAGAAACCGACAAATCGCCTTCACCAAGAGCTCTGGGAGATATCAAGTCCCCTTCACTTCCAAAGGCAGCTTTATCGTACTGGTATTGTTTTTCATTCAGGAGAAATTCATCTGCAGTAGGCAGCGCTGCTGCTGCTGCACCCCGTGCCCTCAACATTTCTTGCCTGATAATTATTTCATTGGTGAGATAAGCTTCTCGGCGAATTTCATTTCTCAGTTTGCGTGTCATATCAGGAATACACCACTGCACTGTCATCATAACCATTCCTACAACATTCTAATAAAGATAATAATATGATATTAATAAAAAAATCTTTGCTACCATCGTTAAGTTTTAAGAGGGGGAGGGGGGGGGGGAAGAAAAAAAAACCTTCTCTCTGAGTCCAATCAATATTAGTAATGCAAGCACACAAAAAAAGAATTAAAGCAATATTTTAGGGTGCAAGACTCAGAGAGTGAATTTTTCTGGAAATTTCCAATTTGTAGTGACAAATTATTGCCTCTATTGAAACTAATTTTGTTATCTCCATTTCCATCCAGCCTATTTAACTTGCATAATCAATTGTAAATTAAATTCTTTAAAGTCTTTTAAGGACTGTGAAGATTTCATCATGATGTGATAAAGGCTTGTTTGTCTAGACCAGGGTTTCCCAATGTGTTTGGTAACGATTCCCTGGGGGTTAATGAAATTTTGAATTGGGGGGTCAGGTGAAGTTATGTTGTGTCTACATGTCTGATGTGAATGTACAGGAATATTTTAGCTGTTAAGACTCAGAAAAGAGACTCCAATAATTCAGTGTTGTAATTTTATCTATTAGAAATTGTAAGCATATATCGGGTATGAACACTGCAAACTGTAATCACTATAACTCATATGGAAATCGTAGGAAGGAGTTGTTTAGTTGTTTTGTTATTTAGGAGCTGTCCATAAATTACATAAGATTTTTGAGTATTTTGAATACTCCCACTCCCCCTGTAACAGACCCATAATGCACGCTTGAACTCTTCATAAATAATTACGTAATGCTCCCGTCAACACCCCTCCCCCATTTACAAAAAGTAACTAGTGGCGCTACAGAATGGCACAGTCTTTCCTGTAGTAAAGTTTTCTAATTTCAATGGTGGGGACAGGCTTTACGGTCTTGCCTCATCCTCCTGCCAACTGCCATCTATTGCCGCTCAAAGTATATTTTTTCAAATTATTCTCAATTTTTCTGTTTCCTTAAACTAGAACTGAAATATTACTTTAAGAATATTAAAGAAGAGTAAAACATAGTCATAAATAGCAATTTTCATTTAAACATTTCGAGCCGTTTTTAAGAAAATGGCATGTAAGTATTATTGTACATATGAAATTTGAAGCTTTTTTTCACAGAAAATTTTTGAGTTTTCGAACAAACACAGTGAATAGATAATTTGGGAAAAAAAAGCAAAAGCAGTTTTTGAGTATCAGGGGACACCAAAATGTGTATTTCCTTTATTTCAAAATCAATTTTCTGCAGCATTACATAACTTTCTCCAAACCTTGTATATTACTCTGTATACTAGAAAGTAAAAATACATTATTTTACAGTAAAAATAATTGGTATTAATTTTATTTGTGTGTGGATGCCTGTGTATATATACACACACACTCAAATAACGCACCCTTGTGGATGTTGCTTGGGGAGAGTCTACTTTGCCAATTTAATTGGATTCTAGAATGTAGATAAGTTTTAAGTATTTTCATTGTAATATTACAAAATGAATTATAAGACTAATAAAAAATATTACCACTTATTGTCATAATTTACACATAATCACTTTGATTTATTTAATTTTTCAAAAAAATAATTAGTTAATATTTTAATGTTTTAGTATAAGACTGAAAAAAAGGAATTATTTCTGCAAAAGTTAATAAAAATTAGTGTTCTGTACCATTAAGGTAATGCCCTCTACCTATATGTAATGCAGCGTAGTGTTGCCCTCCCCTCGTGTTTGGCGTTATGTAATTTATGGAGAAGCCTTATGTCATTGGAAATGTAAGAATTTCTATTTAGTTTTAATCAGAATTTTTGTTTAAATCTTTTTGAAATTCATGTTAATCAATTCATCATTGGACTTAAGTGCATTATTATTTCAACAAATTCAATAATGTGTAATTATCATGACTGACCAACTAAAGGAAGGGAGGATGAATAGACACACCAATTCAGATCGATGGACGGACGCATCTACACACAAGCAGACATGCCGATGGGTAGAATAGAAATGGGCGGGTGGGCAGTTGGGCTGCCAAAGGCAAAAAACAAACAAACTAGTGGTGGAACTGAAAGACACAGACTTTCGTGTTCTAGTTAGTTTCCTTATCTCTTTAATCTGGGCCATCTTTTCAATTTCGTTCCAATCTCTTTTCAGCTGCCATCTCTTGGCTTCTGAAGGACATTTTTTCACATCTTTTCCCTCCCAATTTTTTGGTCTCCTAATTATAAAACTAAAATAACACTAAGTATGTTATGGAAGAGTAAAGCCAAGTCCTGTATGTAAATTTATGTTGAAAAATTTGCACCTATTTTCGAGAAAAATGTTAAGAGTTTTTCTGCAAACATGCATTTTGGGGTTCATTTTCACCGAAAACTTTCAAATTTTTGAGAACATCATATGAAATTAAGCAATTTTACTCACAAATGCAATATTGTAAAAGAAATGCTTGTAATGAAAATTATGGCATGAGAAATATTTTTAAAAAACTTGTGGTTGATGTAATGTTTATCAGTCTATTTAGCATTACCCAAAGTTTAAAGAAAAAAACTCTATTAGACGTGATTTGAAGCAGTTGTACTAAAAAATTCAATAATGTATCCTGTACAGTGCATTTAAAACTTATTTTGATTTTGCAGTTAATTTTGAGAAAACCTTTTTTTAAATAATATGTTAATAATAATATGTTAACATTTTCTAAATAAATGTACATGACAATAATTAAAGAACTAGATGTGGAGAACAAAGTTCTTTGGAAGAAAAAATCACTAATTTCAATATTGTAGTTCTAATCTTCAACTTGGAGCAACAATCCCATGATCGACCTACTGAAAAGAACAGGTTACGAACTGTATATAATTATTGTATAATTGAATAAGAATGTGTGTAAATAAACTACTCACTTAAAGCCTCTCCCACAAAGTCCTCCTTGGATCCATCCCTGTTATTAGTTGTTACTGTTTACTCAAAGTATCAACTTGTTATGTTTATTAGTGTATATTTAATGTCAGAGTACCAGTTGTGGGGGAATTGCTCGAGTGCTCAAAGTGCTATGAGGGGCAGATTATCAATAGACATCCTGGATTGATTTATTTAAAATTTTATTGAGAATTGCACTTTTACTGGTCAGAGATGGGGGATTTTCATGAACCAATCCTGTTGGACACCTCCCTCACATATACAACGTTAGTAACCTTGATTTTTGTTTAAGGTAATTGAAGAACCCAGGATGTGTCTCTCGAATAGTTTCAAGATTCTTCCTTCCCATCCCTGAATTTTATCTACATTTGTAGTTCACCTCAATTTCAATTCATTCTGGTACATCCTCTCATAAATTGTTTTTCAATCATTTAACATCTTTTTTTTATTCACTTTACCCATTCTTCCTTGTTATCCCCATCCTTTCCTGTTTCCTCTGATACATTATCATAAATTCTTATGTCTATGCACTTTTTATGGAAAACCCACCTGAAAGACTACTACAAAAGCAAGCCGGGCTGCAAGAATATGCCAGTATATAGGAGGTCTTTTGTATTTGAGACCAGGTGGTTCCAAATGACTATTTCGAAACTCAGCATATCTACAACATAAAACAGTGAATTGTCACATTATACTCCAAAGCTATAATAACATTGTTTTAGTTAATTCAATTACCATCATTTTTATCACCTCCACTATGAAAAACAGAAGAATAATAAAATTTTATATTTAAAAACATAGATCTTCCTGTATTCACACCCACCTGCAAATAGACACATTCATATTTGGATGTATGGGAGCTTCATTTTCTTTAAAATCACTTGTATTGAAATATGCCAATGTAAAATTGAGAAATCCAACATCTGTATTATTGCGAGTCACTGTCATCATGTACACAAGCCTTGGAATGAAATTTGAAGAAAATGCAATAATAAACGCCTGAAATATAATTAGACAACAGAGTTATAAAGATTATACTACAATAATTTATTTGATACAATTAAAAATGTTCAAAATTATACCTACATTTGTAACAACAGACATTCGAGCAATGATATCCATTATTCGAAACCATACACCAATATTTTTAACTCTCTTTGGAACAGGTCTTCTGTAGAACTTGAGGAATTTCTTTGCATCAAGACGCATTTCCAACACATTGTTTAACAAAGCAAAAAATGGAGCTAATGGAAAAGCTGCCACAAATATTGTCACAAATCCATACTGGAGAACTGCAAATACAAATTACAAGTAACATAGAAAATGTTTGTATTGTGCTGTGGTTTAATGGATGTAAGTCTCCTAACACCTCAATTTATGATATTTAGAAATTTAATTTTTTTCTGAATTAAACGTTGTTCTTATTCTCAAATTTTTAGTGATTTTGTAACTTTGGTACTACATTTTTGAATCTTAATAACAGTATTACACTTATTATGTTCTACTTCCAAAGGATTTTTTGAAGTTTTGTTGTTAAATCTTTAATATATGTACTCAGAAAGCTTTCTCATTTTCCCCATTTAACAATAAAAAATCCTCAACACACTTCGTATTCTAGGTCTAGGAAAACTATGATAAAAACATAATAAAAATAAATTAATAGTAGTAGTGGGTGAGTGACTAGGTGAAGAAAACTACGACAACAATAATAAGAATATTAACAACTTTATTCTTTTTTTCTTTTTTTTTTCAGAAATACTTGAAAATATGCCACTCTAAAAGAATCCAAAGATATAAAAAATTTCTGAAGAAACACTCATAATGATCAAGAGAAAAGCAAAAGAGCTAAAGATAAGGGAGATTTTTTTTAAAGCAAAAGCTCGCAATTCATCATTACTCACCCATTTCTAGATATTCATAAAATAGTCCTCGTGGACCCCAATCCAATAATTTGTAGTCTTCAGCCCAACGAGTTCGGCACTTTTCTTGTTCCTCCTCTTTACCCATGCCTGTCTTCAAGCGAATTGTGTTTAATGTTTTCCAAAACAACCTTAAAGCAACAAAATTACAGAATACCATTAAAGAACCCAACAACAGTGCACTTTTGTCACCATAAGCTAAGCAAAATGACTTATGAAAACATTCGTTACATTGGTAGCTGATTTCAATAAATTAAGTACTAAGATGAAAAACTCAAGGATCAGAGCCTTGAGGAACTCCTCTGGTAATAGAACTTCTAGATGACCGTTTCCAATTCTAATATAAAAGCTACAATCTTTAAAAAGACTTTGATGTAGTGAAGAAATTACCAAGAGCTGAAGTTTGTGCAGCATACTGTGTGTTGGAACTTTATTAAAAGCCTTACAGAAGAAGTCAAATGGTACCAATAATTGGGATGCTCTTGGCCACGATCCAGTCCTAAAAACAAGTACTTAAGTTTGTTTTGACAAAAAATTGTCCTTCCTAAAACAAAACCATGTTCACTTGGCGGGATACATCACCACAGCATAATTCAGAACACATTTAGCTACAAATCTCTCCGGAATATTACACACTGAATTATAGCCCATTACTATATCTAGGGTGGCAGCCAGGTTGTTCCTCCTCTAACGGGTCATTAGTTCAGACCTCAGCTCCCTCAACCCAACACATTCATATTTGGTTGTGGGTGGTAGTCCATCACAAATCCATGTTTCTTCAGAGAAGTTCATCTTCTATTTCTGATGAGTTAGGAGCCACTTTTAATGGCCTATAATTTTCAGGTTCCTGTTCCCAAGGCTCACAATTTGTATGATATAGCTGTGCATATCAGAGACAGTTGCCAACTTATTTCTGACAAAGTCCTTGAGAACAGCATGATGTTCTCATCCTTTTTAGGGGATGAACATTTTAAGGTTGCTCTCAGAAATACCATGAAAAATTGTTTTCCTAGCTTGGTTAATTTGTTGCTCTATTTCTTGAGTGATGAGTTATGTGGACTGTGCAGCAATACCTTCACCTAGCGTCTCTCGAGTTGTTTTAAGTTTGACAGATAATTTTGTTTTTACATTATCAAGGAAACTCTTCTGTCAATCCTCAAGGCTGGTAATTTTGGTTGCACTTCATTTCACATTTCACAGCTTGCAGATTTTTTCTATATTCCCTCATATCAGCTGAAAGACCCTCTACCTTCTCTGAGATACCTTCAATTCTCTTTTTAATGGCATGTTGCTCTTTCTGATTGGTTTGTTCTTTTCCCCTTCCTCTTAACTCCTTTCTTAATTTGTTCATTACATCCCCATGTAGCTTCGTAAAGCTTTGTGATGGCATTTCTGATTCTGAGTCTGTGGAATCAGGGTTCAGGAATCTGGATACATTTCACATCTTCTTGGGAGATTGATAATCTGACTTGTTTTCAGATAATTATGAACACATAATGAACTTATTAACTATTCTTTGGCTACAATAATGGCTGTTTAAATTTTCTGTTTCATCTATGTTTGTTATATACTGATGCATATCAGAACCACCAGCAAATAAATGCGATACTCCGACTTGTAAGTCAATAGGTTATGTTTTAGTGTAACAATTTTCAATAGTTAATTTAGTGGAGTATTCAACAGAAACAAATCTCGCAAACAATTCTGCACACACTCTGTCAATTGATTTAAAATGTTTTTTTGACTATTTTCTTAAGAGTTTGGGATTAATACATTTCGACTTCACAAATAACTTTATACACCTTATAGTTTTTTCAGTTGTTAATTTTGAATATTTAATACATACTAGACAATACATGTCTGTTCTTAAAAATGAAATAAATACGTGAATGTATACTACTTAACTTACGGCATAACCATCTCCAAGATGCTATTCATAGCTTGCTTGCCCACCATAATAATTGCTAACTGGATGCACAGTTCCATTAAACAACCACCAGGACTGCACTGTTTTAACAAGAAATAACACATTCATCTCCATAACATTACGAGGAGGCATAAATTAAGGACATAAACACATTTTCTTACCTCTTCTTGTCGGAACTTGAATATTCTATTGTATTTAGATGGATAACCTACAAACTTTCCCTTTAAAAAAGCAATGTAAAATATTGAAGTATAGTAGTTCACAAACTGAAATAAATAAATCTTCAATGTCAAGCTATCATCAAATTCTGTTTGAGTTCTTAGCAGTTCTAATTCAGTCAGACGTACAGCTAACCAATCATAGAACTGTCAACAAAAGAAATAATTTTCATGAGAGGAATAATATTTTTGGAAATCCAACAAGCTTTAAGTATTCAAGAAAACATGAAGTGCTTACATAATTCAAACACATAATGCACACCAAGTTGATGGATGCAGCTGTGATTGGAATAAACATGATCATATAGCTTGTGGTATCAGAGTCAGGATACAATGACAATGACGTCAAGACAGACATTCGGTACAAAACTACACCAAACACAGCACCAATTGCAACAGTAATCTGTACAAAGTAAGCACAGTGCAAAAAAAAGGTTGTAAATATCATGGTAGCAAAAACAAAACAACACAATACAACTTAGATTATAACCTAAGAAGAATATAGGGCAATTTTCGATTAGAAGAAAAGATACATATGAGTAGAATAGTTCAAAATTGAAGAAAAACAAATGAAGAAAAGCCCAAAACTCACTTGTCACATAAAAGTCAGTACATTTTTTATTATAACCAATTATATTTTTTTCATTCTAGCGACTATTATATACTTGTACCACACACACTCTCTGGTTGTTACTAAACAGTGTTCATCCCTGTGGGTAGCATATGAACTTTTCCTTCTCATCCACAGTTTTGATTGACATAGTTTCTTACCATTCTTACAAATACACACAAGTTACATGATTAATATTTTCTTTGTGATTCAATATTTTGTTTCTTTCTTTTTCCACAGCATCCTGTGCATTTATTTAAATACATTGTGCCACATGATGCAACTTTTAATTATTAGTTTTAACAAAGAGTTTTCTTGAAGCAACTTATAAGTTTTTAACAGTATTTAATGTCAAACATATGTTGTACTTAAAAGTAAATGTAATATAAAGGATGTCTAATAAGCCACTTCCTATTTTTGGATAGCTACAATTTCTTCACTTATGAGCCACTGTTTTTACAACCAAATCTGTTACAAAGAGTAGTCCTTGACGTTTCGTTTAACATGTTTATTCTCTTATTTCAGTTGAAAAATGCTGTATGAGTTGAGTGTCTAAGAGCAGGCCAGCTTGTTATGAGGTCTGAGGATCTGTAGTGCAAGTACAAAAGCAGTGGACGGATGAATGAAGGATTCATGCAACACTGAATGCAAAAACAGATAAAAATACCATTACAAATTACTAACAACAGGAAGTAAGGCTGATGCAAGGAAATCAGGAAGACCATTCTTATAAGGGAAAGAAGAGAATATTAGCAGTGTTCATGAAATGTTATTGAGGAGCCTTAAGAAGTCACTGTATGGCCTGTAATTTCACAGCTAAACAACTCACAGCCTTACTTCATGCAGGCCAGATCACCTGCACATTTTGCAAATGATGTCTGTGCATGGCTGCATGATCATTTCCCAGGTCGTTGGATTGACAGACATGGTGCATATGAATGGTCTGCCTACAACCCTGCCTTCAATGCCTAGCAATTTTTTTCTCTGGGGGTGGGTTAAGGAGGAGGTTTACAAGAGAAAACAAAAGAACTTTGATGAATTTGAAGCAATAACAACTTATGTGTTAACCATGTTGGGGGCAGCATTGAACAGTTCATTTAAAAAATGCGATGAGAAGGCTGGAGCTGATGTGGAGATTTAAAAATGTGTTAAACTAAACCTCAATCACTGCTTTAACACAACTAGTTTAAAAAAAACTGGATCATAAATAAAGACATTACAACTATCCAAAAATAGGGAGTGACACTGTAGTTTGTCATATCAGTCACACTGTAGTTTGTAATGCAAATTATCATTACATATAATGTGTTACATATAATGTTGCAACTGACAGAAGGAATGTCAATCAAAACTCAGGAAAAGAAGGAAATCCTTCCCACTGGAATCAACAGGCAGAACATAATAATAATAACTTAATTTATATGATTCAAAACAACAACCAATAGCTAGGAATTAATGGGTTATGTTTGCCTTGATTATTTTATAGACAATTAGGATCATTCATAATTAGATAAATACATTACATAAGGTTTGGGAACTTTTTCTGATAATTGGGTGTCTGTGTGAGGAACTTTAATGAGTGAAAAAGAGACAATTAAAAATACTTAAGTTAAAATTTAAATTAAATCACAATGGTGAGAACAATCACATGGTGCTTGTACTATGGTGCCCTCCCTTGCCCAAACCATTCCTTCCTGAAAGATCCCGAGTTCAGGATTGAAATACCACATAATAAGTTATTAATTCTAATTGCCAATAAAATAAATCTAGATCAATGTGACCCATCAATAGTGATATTACAATAAATATCGGATTTTTAGACAAATGCTGATTTTATGGTTTTGACATAGACACTCAAAATTAATTACAAACATACTACAGACCTTTACAATACTACAAGAAATATATTTATAGCATCTAAAAATGTCTACCTCAGCATTAAAGCCACAAACTTGCCTATTCATCACTTAATTGATTCTCATTTTCAGATTTTTTAAATCATCTTGGCTTTAAACTATTACACAGTTTGTGTTTTATAGTGAAACATCATCTATTCCGTCTCAAGGAAGGGAAATTAGTCTGCTGGAAAACATCATCGCATGCAACAGACTCTTATTGCTAGTGATGCTTTCAAATTACAAATCAGTCTTGCTGGACAGCTAGGTTATCTTGAGTGTCATAAATTTGATTCAAATATTCTAGTCAGTTTACATTTCCTGACCTCAGACTATGAGTTGACTGTGTCTGAGTGAGTTTTTCATTTTAAGTCTTAGGGTGCCTGAAAATTTAAAATCAATACTAGAGCTTTTACTGAATCGAATAAAGTAATTTGAATTGCTTTTGAAAATCAGACAAAACGGTTTTAATGGGCTAATCCCAGATTATCATGGCGCACTGTTTCATTAAAAGTTCACAATGAGGTGAAACCTTTAAGAGGATGACATGAGTTCATGGGTCATTGTTCCAACAATTTAAAATTCATCAGACGATATGTGAAGAAGTAGAGTAGATTTATTTCTTATGTTGTGATTTTCAGTTAATAAAAGAACACAGATTCTGCCCCATAATTTATTACAGGCATTGATGTAGTACTGTGAAATATGTTTCAGAATAGATTTAATTCCACAGTTTTTGAGAAATTACTTCGGAAGATTTGGTGTGTATAACGCCAATAATTATAAATTCACATCTTAAATTTAGTTCACATTAATATTTTGTATTAATGTTTTCGAATAACAACAGTATAGTAAAATGTTTATTGTTAGTCACTTTGAACTCATTTTATACTATGTGTTCAAAAAATTATCACACTAATTTCCCCCAGGTGAAGGACTATATAGTTAAGTGCTTAAGAGCCTTTTTTCCAGCATAGAAATGTAATGGTCTAATTATTATATTAACATTTTTTTATTAGAAAACATTAAGTTCTTATTTGTATCTCATACAACATTCATTTTTTTGGGGTAAATCATTAACACAATAATAATAATCAACACTCGACAGATCAAAGGTAGATTTTCCAGGTTGGTAGGCGGTGGTCACTTGGCATTGTTGGGCCAAATGTTTTTCCATCGTTCTGCAGTGGACATCTTCAGTGGCGGCTGTCGCCAGCAGCTGCGCTCCGAACACTGCGCCCACGACCTGCCGCACGTGAAAGATGTCACCGCAGACTGGACGAAAACTTTTTGCCAAACAATGCCCACTGGTACCCAACAGCTCCAGCCGGGAAATCTACCTTCTTTGACTCCGCGTGGAAGCCTATTGATACATATACTCCACAGATCTTTTACATTGACAGTTTAATCTCAAAAATCAATTAATAAATTACTTTGATTTAAAATGAAAAATAATTATATTCTAATTATTGTAGTAACTTCCCTGCTCAACAAGTGTTCTTCACAAGTATTTAATCAAAAGAACAACTTAATTACTCACCAATAACAACACAACTGAATAACTTAGAAGAGTTGTTGGAACACGCACTTTCCAAAATGGAACATAAGGTTCTGAAACGTTAGTAATAACATTTATTTTTTGTTCCCTTGCATTTGCCAGCCGAGCAAGGTACTCAGGGCGAGGATGCTCTGCCTGAAGATCAAACCCTGTCAATCCCCACCGATGGGTTATATCAGCAGAATAACGTTTCCATAATTCTAGGAACAACGTGGCTGCACATTGAAGAGACAAAAATTAAGATTAAGCAATGGTAGCTTCTCTAATATTTAGTCATGCAACTGTAATGAACATATACATACCCCAAAAAGACATAAAAATAGCAAAGAAGACAGTAAAAGGATTGTCAAATAAATATGTTATTCGAGCATATGTACATGTTTCAGTAAGATTCCAATAATTACATGTACGGTCACATAAAGGGCACATAGTAATGTTTGTGGCTGGGTTGCAAATATCTTCACTGTAAAGAAATAGAGTACAAATTTATCTTGCATGTGTCAATGTCAAGGAAAACAGAACTTTTAAATACATTAACAGAACAAGGCCCCCCAAAAAATTAACTCACCTCAGAGTATTGGAATAGAGAGTTGCAAGACCATAGAAAAAACAAACAAGACCCATAATCGAGGCTGGAATGAGCATGTGCGTATAAAATCCAAGCCATGCAAAGTAAAGACCATACTTCACTCCAAAATACTCTTTAATGTAATCAACTGGCTGATATTTTACCCATTTTCTTACAGATGCCCATTCAGAAAACAATAAACTTCGTTGGTTGCCTGGCTTGCGATAATCACCCTACAAACAAATACATCATATTATTTTTATTTTATAAAATCCATGTTGCACAACAAATGACTTAAAATGTGTAATATTTGAAGAACACATCCAAAATGAAATACATTTTTGTTAGGAGGCAGCTAAGATGGAATTAATTTCAGGTGAACAATATGCATGACAGACAGCGAGTGATGTATACTTGATATTTATTGTTTTTACTATCCAAGTATAGATTTATATAATACAATTAATTTGCAATATGCTCAATATTAAAAACAAAGATTATTAAGAATTAATATCATATTCAACACATCAATTTTATTGTGAAATAGGAAGTTATAGAATACAATTAATTTGTGATGTGCAAAGAGAAAAACAATATTTATAAACATCAATATTGCAGTGAAAATGTAAGAAAAAGAGAGCCTGAAAGGCTTTCAAAAGAAGGAAAAATGTTTTTTGTTGATTACTGAACGAGCAATGGGGTTAAGACAGCGAGACATTTTCTAAGAACTTTTGCTTTAATCTCAGAAGAAATCTAAACCTAATGATTTTTAAAAAACAGAAAGAAAGTGAGAGAGAAACAATACACAAACAAAATAACCTGAATTACGCAGGGTGGCAAAACACACACACACACACAATGAAAAGATTTGTAGAGTATTCAACACTAACTAAATAAAATATTGAAGCAGGCCTGAAACTAAAGTGTGAGCTCTCTTATTTCACAGTAATGAAGTACAAAAATAAAAAAAACTCAACAAATAGAAATTTAGCAAAAAATATAATAATATCTAGTTTTATAATCATCTCAATTTTTACATGATTTCCAATGATTCTTTCACAATTCCCTGATTTTTCCCTGACTATTCCATAACTTTGAAATTCCCTGATTTTTCACAGTTTTTCATGTTATCCAGAAAGTGGCTGCTCTATTGCTATATGGTGACAAAATGAGATGATTAAAACAGAGGAATTAAAACTATAACTGTACTACTAGAATGAGTTTGAAAGGAGAAGGAAAAGAAGTAATACTGAATACAATTCAGAAGAAGAATGATCATGAAAAGATTAAAAGAAACTGTACATGATCTTGTTTAAAAATAAAGGTGGTGTTGAATGATGCTGTGAAAGAAACGAAGTATGAAGAAGAAACTTTTGGTACTAGCCTTGATCTTAATCATAAATAGTCAATCAAAATATCCTTGCTATGAACAAATCGTTTCTCTTATGTTTAATTTCATTTTTCCTTCTTTTTAACACATTCTCCTCAATTTATCGGATTAAGATCAAATTCACATCAAGATACCACTCTGCATTTTTGAGGTCAGATGATAAAAATAAATAAATAAGTGAATGTTAAGTGTTAATATGATACATAAAATACTATTTATAGTTCTTCAAAGTCTTTTTTATTAGTGCCCAACCATATGCAAGGCCTAAAACAAGAGGGTAGGCAAATTACATTTCTGGTCCCCCTTTCGCCTTAAAACTTTTTTTTATTTAGATACGACATATTTCACTGGTAACTAAATAAAACATACTACATGGAGAACGACAATGCAAGTTTAATGATACAGTTAATTTCATATTGAAACATTTACCACATGCCAGATGGCTTGAAGAGCACCTTCCCAAAATATAGGAATCAATTCCCCAAATTGTCACAGAATATACAAATAAAATGTTTTATTAAGAAGGATATGGGGCCTCCTTTCAAAATGTTCAGGGGGCTACCACACCCCTGGCCTGCCTTGTGCATTTGATATGATAATGAACGCCTATGATAATGAATGAATGCCTATGATAATATACATTTGCATCTACACAATATAAATATGCCAGTTTCACTTCACATTTATTTCATTAATGTAATACACTTTTATTAAAATTAAGTCCAACCAATTTGACGTGAACTTACTGTAAGTAAATAGAGGCCTAAAAATTCATCACCACCCTCAAATTTTCTGCAATTGACAAAAGTCAGTCAACTGTTTCTCCACTTAATGGGCAAAAAATGTATTTTAATGACTTACTTCATTGAATTTATCTACATTTCACAGTAAGCATGTAACGTATACAATCAATTAAATAATAGTAGAGAAGCACTGTTAAAAGAAAAGTCTTATGTATATAAACACGCTAAATAATTCATAAGTTCCAAGGCCCGTGTTCAATTTTATCTCTTGAGGAAGAAGAAACACCAATCATTGTGCGTAATAGAAGCAAAGTCTTTCGATGCAGCAGTCATCCTATGTATAAAGCACGAAAAAGAAAAACACTTACATCATGTAGTGGAAATGCAGCTTTATACACACCATCAGCTATTAACCTGTTGATGCCAAATGCAAATACATCATCTGCTTTGTCAGAGAATTTCTTGCGCTCCAATATGAAATCAACGACAGTTGCTCTTACAGAATGTGAGAAAAAGTCTGGGTCATCCATATCAAATCTGAAGAAAACAACATAACGTCAAATTATGCTAAAAGAATTTTTCTTCTTATTTACTACACTGAAGAAAAGAAATGAGAAAACATTTCCTGTTTGAACAATCAATCTTGATGACTATATTTTCAAGAAGGTGTAATTGAAGAAAAGCTCCAAAAATTACAAAAACGTATGTACTTTCTCAATAATTACAACGCATTACTAATTCAACAGCTACTGACACTTACAAATATTTTTTGTCTCTACTGAATTCAGCAGTAAATGTGCGTTCTAGAGGAGGAAAAGTAGATTCATCAACTCGAACAAAATGTAGTACTTTTTTGACAAAAGATTTCACTTCTTTAATTAGGTCAGCGTTTTCTTCTTTTGGATACATGACATCAGGAACCTAAAGATACAAAACAAATCATTAAAAAACATCCACGTTTTCTCTGTTGGCAAGAGGAATATATGAAATTGTTTCCCACCCTTTTCATTGGCATTCGCAGTTTCAGGATTTCTGTGTATCGAGCAAGAACTTCTTTGGAGGCGTGAATCTTGATGAAGTGAAGTTTTTCAGAGGCATCTTCATATTCCAGAGAAAGACCCTCAGCGCAGAGATTCCTCTCAAATATCTCTCGCTTTATCCGGGCATTTTCGGCTGCAGCAATTTGGGCACGTTTGCCTGAAGACACATTTTCGTCCATCCACACCAGGACGAAATCCACAGTGCGGAGGCCATCACTGAACATATTGGGACCCTGAAACAACGCACGAAATTCCATAACACTTCGATCCATTTCACACATTTCATTTGAACTCCGTCGCATATCATCAACTCAACATAAACATTCTAATTATCACTCTACCGCCCCTCACCATCTTGATATCTTGCTCAGAATCATCAGCCGGTAGTCCTCGTAACAAATGAGCAAGTGACATTTTGGCACATTAATTCACGTCTATTCCACAGACAAGCCAGGGAACGCAGAATCTCACTCATGACACCACAACCACTTCTTCAGGGCTTCAACAAAATTGGGCGCGCGTAACTACGAAGGAACATGATCGTTTCTTGCAAGAGGTTCGGACGGAATGAAAGGAAGGCGAGAAACCTTGACCCCGGGCTCGCAGAGCGGACACACTTTCACACCGATCTCCAACCCACGAGTCCACCACTCGGAAACAGTCTTGGGGCGGGGCGGCGCCGGGCGCAGCTGTCAAAAGCTCGGGGATGTCGCGCTCGCTGGCATCCGGACGCGAAGGCAACGGCGTGGAGCAGGACGCGGAGAGAACCGCAAGCAGGCATTTCCACAAGTGACGTATCGCGCGGCGGTCCGCGAGCCCTCTCTGGCTTCTCTCCGTCGGCTTCGACCACCCCATCTCCGAGACACTCGGCCGGAGAGAAGACGGAGCTGCCGAAAACGAGGGCAAGCATACACGCTCTGCGTCTCCAGTGGCGGAACGGAAGGCGGTTGGGGGGGGGGAGGGGGGGGAGAAGGGGGACAGACAGAGCGCAGCGTCTGGTCGCATAGACGACTTCCAACCTAAATGTACGGGGCGGCGGCGGCACTGTGGCCGTGATGGCGTGGGGCTCGTTGGTTGGAGGTAGCTGTTTTAAGAAAAAAAAAAACCCTGTTGACAGTGTTGGAGGATGGGCTACGGGGCGTCACCGGCACTGATGATGATATGACGTGGGTGAACAACGATGCTGAGGGTGAAGGGCCGCCCCGGTAGTCGCAGAAGGACTGGAGACCGGAAGCAGGAGGCGATGGAGGCAAGAGGCGGTGGAGACGGGGAGGTCGCGGAGGCAGGTTGCGGTGGTGAAGGCAAGAGGCGGAGGTGGAAGCAGGAGGCGGAGGCAGTGGCTTCAGCGCCGTTGTGTTGGAGACCTCTCCGGGAAAACTACTCGCGTGGGAGACAGAGTTGGATGCGTCAACGAGCAATGACGATGTGACTTAAGCAGGTGCGTCATTCTTATCAGCTAGGAAAACGCAGTAGAAACATGTATAATTAACATTACCTCGTTCTCTGAGTTGCTTACATGTTTGGAGAAATACAATTACATTTCAGGAGTGTAACCTACTTATTTGCATAAATTAGAAGACCGGGCCTTTCTCGTACATCGTGCAGGGGGATGGGGAGGAGACATAAATCTGCCTGAAAACGCGTGTATCGTTTGTCTAATTCTTTTGCTCCCTTTAATGCTCAAGAGGATGAAAAGAGTTGCTCAAGAGAACTCGATCTCAAACGGATGATCTATTACATCGTACGTGTCGAAATTATTCATTTCTATGTAATATGTAGGAAGGAGGAAACGTCGCAACTTCGCAAACAAGCTTTTAAGACAATTTTGTCTAATAAACTACTGGGATATTCCGAATGGTTCAGCCGCAATAAGCACTCAATAATTGGTTTGAAAAAATGCTTTCTAAACATTTGCATTGCAGAAGCATATAAACACTCCAGAAACATGTACATTGTTTATTATTTATAAAAGGTGTGAATATATTTGTTCAGAAAGCAAAAAATAACCGAGAAATAAAAAAAGCAGTCGAAATGTGAAAATTGGGTACTTTTTTATTTCTGTTATTTTGGGTGTTACTGCTTATTTCAGTTCGAAATTAATTAAAATGTTCACAAAAATAAATTGAGTAGGCCACATTTTACAATTTGATCTAGGATAATACAGTTAAATTACTGATGTTTTCTACAGTATGATTATGGGGGTCATGAGTGTGAATCATGTTTGAACGTAAATTCGATATTCACATTTCAGATCCTGATGGAATAACGTATAATTTCCTATCATTTTGACTAATTACCGGGTGCCTTGCACCTTGTCGACGCACTGAACAGCCTCCTTCAAAACCAGGAACCGTAGAGCGTCCGTGGGTTGAAATGAATTGAATTAATGCCTTTTTTTTACGTGGCGAGACTCAGGCCATTAGGCCTGATCTTCCGTCTGACCATGCAAATTTCGCTACGCTCCTTTCACCAACTAGCAGAGAAAGGAGGTATTGGACGAATTAGGTTGCCCGCTGATCCAGTGTGGGAGCTCTCTGGAGCAAGATAAGGAAGGAGGAGGCCCTCCCACACACCCAACGAACAAAAAAACGTTCCTCACCGAAGAGGCATGAGAAGGGGGCCCGCGACCGGTGCAGATCGAATACATAAACCAACATCGGGTGGAATACAATCTGTATTACATACGGTAGTTTCGAAGGCGCGCAGAAACTGAAAGAAAACTACGCAGCCTGTTTTGATTTTTAATGAAAAATAAGATACTTGATTGTTATTCGGTCTATTCATCGCATTGCGCTTACAGATTGAATTCTCATACTCATTGCCCCGCTAAATACCTCCGTGGGCGGGAGGTCAGCTTATTGGCCTCTGAACTACCAGTGCGTAGGTTTAATCCCGGCTGATGATGGTGGAGGGCGGAAGACCCCACGGTAGTAATGCCACGCATTTAGAGGGTGGTCGACAAAATTTAATCGCCCCGGCAATGTTCTGACCTAACTATATCTCACGTTGTCTGAGCGAACAATTCGGGTATAGTTAAACGAGACCGACATATGGGGAGGGAAAGCGCGGAGATCTCACCCAGGTGCATCATGGAACGCCCACGGGGCGCAGCTGCTCGAAAAAAGATACCCTAGGCCTGCGCCGGGTGAAGGCTTCAGAGGAACGCTGGATAGAAAATACTGGCGCGTAACTACGACCAATGGCAATCTCCCCACAAATATGTAACCCCACACGATAGATAAATATATACTACTATAGACACTGCTACCATGAGACAGCAAGGCTCCAAGGAAGACCCAGCTGGTTTGGTGTTATAGATTAACATTTTTTTTCTATTCTTCGTGTGTGAACTGTCATACTATCCTATGTTATGCCAGTGTTCGTGAAGGCTAGTTTTTAAATATTTAATTTATTGTAGTGTTATAAGTAAGCAGCGGATTTTTGCCTTTTTACCTATTTTTTCTTCAACGGAAAACGCAATATTTTGTGTCACTTATTCATTTTGAGGCATTAGGAGCATTGTACGCGAATTTATAGTTCAGGGTTCTCCAACAGACGGCCCGCAGTGCCATTTATTGTGACCCGCGAAAGGTTTGTAATCAAACATGAAAGTCTCTTGCATTCATGTTGGGCGAGTACTTTGTGCGCCCAGCGCACGTGCTCTGCTGGTGTCAACACTCCTTTTATGTAAAAATCGGTTGTTCATATTTAAAGATTTTTTCTAGTTAATTCAACATAATTCCAATGTGTTATTCATTTAATGCCCTAATATCACGCATGGGGGAAGGGGGAATGACCTGTAACCATATTAAAGGTGTTAGTTGTGGCCCCTGAAGCCTTGCAAGTTGGACAGCCCTGTTATAGTGCCTATAAATGCATACTTCAACAATAAATGGATATGTTGTGTTTAAATGCTAATTCTCGTATTTATTGATCAAAATGCAATTATCCTTAAACAAAATTTTTAAAAAATTGTACGTTCTTTCGCTTTATCCTGCAGAGTACAGAGAAATCGAACAACTTTCAATAAACCTAGGTTCTGTTTTACTGCCACTACAGCGCAAGTATTTTGTATTCTGATGCACGTGCAAAATTACTGGTGGTGGTGGTGGAGTTATTTTTTACTTCGAATTTTTAAACATTTTTTTCCCTCTAAAACGGCTCTAATTTTGTTCTTATTTCTCCTCGCATGTAGCGGCGGTTTTAAAATTGGTACCGGTCCATTTTTTCAATCTCTATATTTTTGAAAACTTGCAAAAAGTTAACATTGCAAAAGTTCAATATTGATTACTGTGAATTTTTGTTTTTAAATGAAGATCTGATCAAAAATCAGATTTTTAAAAAAGGTGATTTATGATTTTAAAAAAAAATGCATAATTATTCTTGAAATTAATTCTCAAAAACCGATACGATTTGTTTTCTACGAAAAGAACCCGGGACGCTTAAAAGAACGGTGCAGGTATCATTCTTTGGACACTGAATTTTTGAAACTGCAAATGTTAAATTTTAAAAAATAATGAGAGAAAGTATGTGCTGATTAGCTGCATTAGTTACTTTTGTGTTACACGTGGCGATTGAAAAAAAAATCATACAAGTTTTCAATTCTATTTAATTTAAAGGCGAGAGAAAGTAGCATTTAAGTATGCAGCATGCAAGCTAAAAGGTAGCCACTGTGATACAGTCTTCTTTGTCCGAATTTCCCTGACAATGATAGAAAGGATTTCTACGAGGATGTCTGAATAGTGGAAATCAAACATTCCATGAAAGAAACTAATTATCTTACTTTCATAAACTCGGTAACAAGTACATAAATAAGGGATACGAAAAATGTATAGTGCCAATTTAAATGCCTATTTTGCCTGCGTATTTCTCAGTTTTCATGTCTTTAAGTCGCGAGCTTAGATATGAGAGAGAAATATGTCACGACTGAACGAGACTAATTAGAAGAGAAGAGTTTTAGATTAAAAAGAGATTGCCGACAATTACAGTATACAGAACTAATATTACGTGAAGAATGATACGCGAGCGAAGTTTTGGACAGGTAAAAGTAAACGTTATCGAGATCAGAACAGAAAGAGAGGAGAAACAGAACATGATGGATAGGATAGAGAATCAAAATTGTGTAATAAACATAGGCTGATGCCAATAATTTCCTCCGCGCTTATTAGAAATAGGTGTGTACGATGATAGGAGTGGGTGCTGGTCTGGAACGGGGCGGGGAGTAAAACGCTGTCAATGAGTCCACGGGAACGCAAATTAAGAGCTCCACCTACTCGTATCTTACCGCCAGTGAGTTACTTCTCCATACTCTTTAAAGTGTCGCTAGGGCGAAGTTTCCAAAACGTGGCGCTAAGAGGTCAATGTGTTTGCAGGAGGGAGCGTATATATTCTAGGCGCTACGCGAATCTATATGCAGATTACTTCAGTAAGAAAAAAAAAAAAAAAAAAAAAAAAAAAAAAAAAAAAAAAAAGTAAAAAACTGTGTGTGACATAGGCGCACGATCTGCATGTACACGAAACCTTAGCAGTGAGGATGTATCGTAGTTAACATAGTTGGGTTAATGTAATCGAGCTGCTTTATGTCATGGGATGCATAGGGATTCATTCAGGCCTATCGTTACACCCAGGTCCGCTAACGATCTGCATGGAACGTAAAGTGGGTAAGATGGAATTACATTTAAAAAGTCGGATAGATTGCATTGGAACGGAATCAGCATTTCTGATTCAGTGTCAAAGGGTTCTGCGGTTGGTACACAATTGCAAGTTGATTTCGATCTAATCAAAATAGCAACTCGCCTTACCTCTACTCTTACCATTGCAAGCAAAGGGAGGTTCAACAA